AGTCCCCCCACGGGTATGCTTGTGTTTGTGTGACTGTTTGTGTATATTTGTAATTGTCGATTTCATTCTTCACCATAATTATCATTTCACCTCATCCTCTAGAACTAACAAACCAGGGTGTAAAAACGGATTCTTCATGACAATGCTGATCCCCCCCCCTCAAAGTCACGAACACCTATCCTCGATTAAGTCCCGGTGGGTTGCACATTCGCGTGATCCGCAGATGTCCAATTCGCGACAAAAAAAAGAAAAAAAAGAAACAACTCAAGAGAGAGAATAGCTATTAACTGTGCGAAGAGGTGCCAATTCCTCAACCCGCATCACTTGTTCTTGTTGCACTCTGCGCCCGAGGGGCGTGGGGAGCGCGTTGCGTCAGGGGATCTTGGCAGTGAAAGGCCGCGCGGCGCGGTCGGGGCGGTGGCGTCACGCCACTTCGCACCGCTACGGCGCGGCGCCGCGCGCAGTTCCGCAAACGGCGCTTTTCGCGGAGCTCCGTTGCCTTCTGTTAAGCTAGTCGCAAACTGAGACGCAGGTACGTAGCGTGACGCAGGGTAACTCATAAACACTGCTCATTGAACCGGCGCTCGAGTGCGTGCCAATAAGCAGTGGTTATTAGAAACTCACCGTGAGTCGCATTGCGTCACGTTATGGACCTGAGACTCATTTTTTAACTACCTTTCTAAGTGAAGTCTTCCCCTTCACATCACTCGCCAGAATCTTTGTGATGAAGAGCTAAAACAAATAGATAAATAGAACACGTGTGGAAGGCGCCGAAGAATGTGTGGTGATACAATATGCGTTAATTAACAAACAATATCGCCAATTTGTATGGATTCTTGACTCGCATACTTCTTGAATTTCCATGACGCTGGTGAGACCTCCATTCTTCAGGTCTTTATTATTTTGTTTCCGTCCGCGTCAAATTCTACGAACCATGAGTAAAGTACCTAAGAGTAAAGTTCCCACGAGTAAAGTGCATGATTTATCCCGGGTGGTTCTGGTGTTACTCGCGGTAGTTAGTGAGATCCGACGCCAAAGAATACTTCCTTTCCAGGGTTTTTTCCTTTCCATGATTTCCTTCCAGCTTGGCACCGTCCCAGCTGGGACAAGCTCTAGGTTCCCAACTGGTACGAGTGTATGTGAAAGTAAGAGTGTGTGTTGAAGGGGAGAAGCGGGAAGAAGGATGGGGAAGGAAATATAGCTCGCGGATCGTGGTCCGTTTGTTAAGGTATATACATGTCATTCGTCGGGTATTGATAAAAAAGTTGTAATTAGATCAGCGATCCACTAACATTTTCCTTCTGATAGTGAGTAAACTATCAACACGTTAGCACATCAAGCTTGTGTATAAAATCTGCCACCGTTGGCAGTCGAACCCTACGACCTTTGAGACGGAGTTGCCGCAGTGGCGAGAATGACTCTGACCCAATCTAGTCGGCCTTCAGCTTCCTCGATTGATATAAAACATCCTTCAGTCCAGCCAACTGAAAGTCTAGCAACGTATTTTCATCATAAGTCTTATCTTGACTGACCTCGCTTAACAAGTAAAGTATTTCTTCTTAATTACACATGCGTTTCATACGTGTCCACTTTACCCATATGCTTTCACTGTCAGAAAGTACTCGCGCCTCCTACTCTCGTTGCAGCTTTGGTGGTGACAGAGATCTGGAGTGTGTGTTTGCGCAAAATCCTCTGTTAAACTTCTAGTAAAAATAACAAACTCCAGTTTTTAAATGAACGAACATGTTAGAACTTGAACGTTGAGAAGTTTTGCCTTTAAAATCAAGTTTTTTGTAGAAATATTAAGATGGGACTTGAAAAATCGTAAATTGTGTCTTTTAAATCAAGTTACATTTATTTCATACAAGAATGTTTACATATTCATTCATTATTTGAATAAGGCAGAACATCTCTTCATAGTTTGAGAAATGCTTGAGTGTTTTGGAAATATTATTCTTGTGCACCACAGTACTAATCAGTGGTTAATTACACAAGTGCTTCTATGACGCTCAGACTCAGATGAATGCACAAAATAGAGCTTTGGTTCATCATCAGATTCGAAATAAATAGTTAAACTACTTTCCCCTGAATACATAATAACTTGGAGACAATAGTGTATTGAAATCAATTTGTAAAGTAGTAGAAGTACATAAATTATAGTTTTCTTTTAAAACTGTAGTTATTTTTGTTGTAAAATGTATGTGATTTAATACCATAATCTTAACAGTTTTATGCCTTCTACCGTGATGACATCTAATAAAACACCTGTTTTATATTCTATGATTCCTAGTTATGGAAAGTGAATTAGAAGTATCACTATCATTAGTACTAGTATACCCGTCATAAGAACTTACGTTCTGTCATGTTGATTTATCTTTACCGTTATAAATAAAAGACACATTCTGCACACGCATGCAAATAATCGCAAACATTCCCCATCATACGTTTTCTTGGCAGTAAAACTTAGAAAAGCGAACGTGTCTACTGTAGAAGTCGTTCTTTGCGGCCGTGTGAAACCCGCAGGTGTCGCAACTGTGCGGTCAGAGAGGCATGTGCCATCATAGTTCCTTCTCTTCCCCCTCTCTTCCCCTCCATCTCTCCCCCCTCTCCACCGCCGCGTCCACGGATGCTGCTGCGCAGACAGAGCTGTCGCTTTCGGTGGGCGCAGAAGCCTGGGCCGGGGCCGGCGCCCGCGGGCGCGTCCAGGGCCATCATCAGAACTTTCTCCGCTCCCGCCCCT